GTGCCAAAGGAAGAAGCCCTTCCCCTAGAAGATTGATGCTCAACTCAGCGCTTCTTTCGAGAAGACATTATCTCCTCATTGGCTGACATCATTGAAGACAAGCTCGCCAAACCTGCGGATAAGAACAGAATTATCAGCCAAGCTAATAAGAAAAGGAAATAAGCAGATGTACGACCTAAAAAAAATGTGCAATGTGCAACCTAACAACTGACCCACCTATACAGCTCAGTCCTGCCTGAACAAGCATCGGCTTGGCCAGAAACTCCTCAATCCTAACCCGTTCCTGGGTGAGCTGCTGAACTGTAGCCTGTAGCTCGGCATCCCTGCTCTCAGCAACCTTTTGGCAAGTACTATACTAGGTAGTATCGACATCCCAACCTCCATCCTTTTCAAGAAAGAAGAATCTCTTCTTCCACCCCCTAACCTTGTTGGGGAAGTCGAATATCTTCCTCCCGCTACGGAAGGGAAGGTAAAAACAAAACGAGCCAAAGATTCTTTTCATTTGAACTAAAGAAGAGAAGGCCTCAAGACTCAAGGGGAAGCCCCAGTGGTGGCATAAACTATTCAGCCCAACCAAAGTTCGGACCCCATTTGGGGTGAGCTGACCTAGAGACACCTAGTAGTGCCTCAAAATAGTAGTGATAAATGGATGGAGAGGGAAGCGGAGACCAACTGCCAGTGATTCCTCATAGACACACAGCCCCTCTCGGTCGTGGTCCCAAGGGTAGTGATCGACAGTAGGCACGATCTAATGGTATTCATTGGGAATCCCGTATCTTTAGCATATGTCGACTATTTCCTCCCCAGACAGTTGGGTCAGCTCAAACATGTTTATTACAGTTTCAACCTCCTCACTCCTGCCCACCAAAGCACCATTGAAGTAAACCCCATACGAACCCTCCCTGGAGGAGCTTGACTCACTATCCAACCTATCGCCAAACAGCCTATCATCAGGAGAACAATGAGACAATGCAAAAAAATTAGAAAATACTCACCAAAAAGACAAAGAGAAACCAAAGACGATAGCAATAGAACTTGGGACGAAGGGAAAATAGAGCTCGCCAACAAGAGAACGGAGCTCGCCTCGGCAGATCAGCTCTAGACACCAACTTGCAGACCACCCTTCTCCAGAAAAATCTAGAAAACAAAAGTGAGTGAGTGGGGACCTCATACTTATAGCTTGCGAGACACGAGACCAATGGCATGGATGAAAGCTACAACTAGCAAATGCGAGATCCGATGGCGCGAGTGCGGGATAGCCCGGCGACAGCAAGAAAGTAGTGCGTGGGCTCAACACTTGGGCACGCAAATTTGAATTTCGAATGTGCGTGTGCTCAAGTTTGAATTTGGATGCGCGCTCAAATTTGAAACATCCGCCAAAGATTCCCCCAAGCACGCACATGATTCCCTATCTCTTTTTCAAAACCCAGAAGAAGCGGGTCAGACTGCGAGCCCAAACTGGGAGAACTGAACTGCCAACAAAGTGACCAGACCAAAACGCTCCAGAAGATCCTACTCTTTTCGCCAACTGGACATCGGCTCGAGAGTGGGGGCAATTGATGAGGGGCATTTTGGTCCTCCCATACAAATAGCGACACGTGGACATTATCGATAGCGCGGCACCAAGTCAATAGGCCAGCTCGATGGGTCAACCCAAGGCACCTCACACAGGAAGATGGCCAAGGTGGGGCGAGCTTGAGCAACCAATAAAGCGAGCTCGCCCAAACCATTTCACGTGCCCCGCCCTCGTGGGCACCGTTATCGCGACCGTGGAGCAGCTCGCCGAACAGCGCGCCACAAGTCCAGCAAGCGACCTATAACCACTGTGTGAATCTAGTAACTGACACATTAACATGCCTTATATTGTGGAAACAGTTCCGACAAAGGCTGATAGACATTGCCCAAGGCACCTGAACCCCAGGTAAACTATAAAAGGACTCTGAATCCACCCAAAAAGGTATGCACACTGATATACTCTAGTTCCCTCACACGTTCTCAAGAGATTTAATACTGACTTAAGCATCGGAGTGTTCTCCCCGGGTAAAACTACCTGGGCACTCTCACCCTTCTCCCTTTGTAGCTCGCTCCAGCTCTGACACACAAACATCAACTCGGCACTGCCAGATTGGAACCTTGTTTGAGCCAAGTCACAAGACACGAGGGAGTGGCAATATTGCACATCATCAAGTTCTAAACCCTAAATCTCAAGATGTAGGGGCCAAATGACAATTTTTCTCCTTGTACATAGGTTACTAACTTGGGTGATGTACACTTAGACATTGGTGGCCAGATTGATGAGAGATTAGTCTAATTTGGCCACATATGGATTTGGTAACTTTTACTAGTTTCCAAAAATCGAGAAAGATTCTCAACCCTAAATCACAAGATGTAGGGGAAAGTAACCATTCTCTATTTATACTTTGGTTACTAACTCGAAAGATGTATATTTGGACACCGGTGCCAGATAAATTATAGTTTATAGACTAATTTGGCCACATAAGGGTGTGGTAGCTTTTCTTGGTTTTCAAAAACTGAGAAAGGTTCTTTAACCTAAATCATAGGATGTAGAGGCAAGTGACAGTTTCTCTCTTTATGCTTGGGTTACTAACCCAGGTAAGGTGTCGATGACCAAATTGATTATAGTTTAATTTGGCAACAATGAAACATATGGGTTCGATAACTTTTCTTGGTTTTCGAAAACCAAGAAAGGTTCTCAAATCTAAATCACAAGATGTAAGGGCCAAGTGACCATTCTCTATTTATACTTTTGTTACAACGTGAAAGATGTATATTAGGACACCGGTGGCTATATTGATTAAATTTTAGACTAATATGGCCACATATGGGTTCGGTAACTTTTATTGGTTGTTAGAACCCAAAAAAGGTTCTAACTTGTACTTGGGTTACTAACTCAAGTGGTGTACACTTGGGCACCGGTGGCTAAATTGATAAAAGATTAATCTACTTTGGCCACATATGGATTTGATAACTTTTCCCAGTTTCTAGAAACTGAGAAAGGTTCCCAATTGAGATTTTGAGAACTCCTACTCCTGAAAGTCCTAGATTGCCCAAGCTGCAACCATGAATATTCAATTTGTCCTGCATATCTTGTGGCGGGAACCAATATATAGGATGCACTACTAGTAACTGAAGACGATGCTACCTGTTGCCAATTCCTTTGGAAATCATCAACTTCAAGTGTTTGAATTCTTAAAATGGTTTGATCCAATGCATAACCTTCATCTAGATATGACTTGTTTAATTTCAACTACAAGACAAACCAAAAATAATAAAAAACTTTAACAATCCACTAACAACATAAAGATTCTTAAAGGAAAAAACAACATCTGGATATGAATTTATTGAACTTATAGTCATAAGAGTGATTGATTGCAAACTAGAGAAGAATTTCGATGTTCAAGTCATAAACTTGCTTGCCCAAAACAGTTGATTTCTGTTGACACCTTGCTTAGCTAATGTGTCAACCAACCCATTTACTGATCTCGAACCCATCTTATCTTTAGATTTCAGTCTTTGCAAATGATTTCTATGATAAATTGAACTTGTGAAATGTTGGATGTTTCCTATAAGGGCCTCGTGTATCAGCTCCATTATTATTCTATATTTTCTCTCTTTCTGTTGTAGAAAACTCTAGAACTATAGAAATTGGGTCCTAAACTTATTCAAGGGACAGAGCAGATTCCATGGTCTATTTTTTTTTTCCTTCAATTTTTAATTTGTAAGTCATTAGCTTTACTAAGTCGTCTGGTATCATCTAACCAAATTAAATTAATAGAAAAAGTGTCTAGTTTCAACAAGCATTTCATCAATTGTATATGGCATTGAAGGAAAATTCAAGTTAAACATTGTTAAAGCAAAGTAAAATTTAAAAAAGCCATATAATGAAAATGTATAAAAGAAGCAAAATGAAATGAAAAATAGCCATCTAATGATTAGCCCTAGCTGTGAGACAAATAGAGATATAAGCTCTGAAGAATGCCAATAAAACACTATAAACTAAAATTTAAAAATGCCACAAATCAAGCAAAAGACGGAGGCGAGCGGAACGAGAGAGACAAAGGTGAAGAGAGACAGACTCCTTCACTCGAACGAGTGAATAGAGAATCAAAAGATGCCGACGTAAAGATAGACTCATTCACTTGAACGAGCAAAAAACGAGAGATGCGATTGTAGGCAAGAGAGAAGAGAGCCGAAATGGGCAGATTTTGTTGCAAGTACTAAAGGGGCAATTTTGTCCCTAAAAAAGAGATACGAATTGTATCTTATATGATGCTCCTCTTTCGTATAAAGCTGCCCTTTGATATATTTTTTTAAAAAAAAAACAAGATGTCCGATCTTAGTTATTATATAAAGTATGTTTTTTATTATTATTATTAAGGCCGAAAAACTGCCCTTATCGGCTAAAAACCCTTTAAAATATGGATATGATGTGATTGATATATGATGCGTTGTATCAGATTTTTCAATGCGTTATATAGCAAGGGTGGAATGTTGGAATGATTGTGCAGCTTCTCTCTTGTCAATCCATATCATATTGTTTCGCCAATGATATTGATTAGTATTTGTGAGAGAGACATCTGACTTAATTAAAGATATGTAGTATGGTGCAATAATCAATATTAGGAGTTAGGACAGCGGTTGAAGAGATTAAATTTTAGGTTAACAATAATCAATATTTACATATATCCTAGATGAATTGATTAAATATATTTAGGAAGAGGTTACATTATTTTAATTGATAAAACTAATAAAGCATTAAAAGCAAAATTAAATTTATCGATAAATACCTTAGGAACAAAAGGTTTTAAAACATAATATACATGCAAAGTTAATAATAGTGTAAATCAGGATACACTTGGGAATGGGTAGGTGTGGCAATTTTTCAGCCCAACCCGCTAACTCACCCATTAATTGGGTTCATGGGTTGTGTTCATATAGTCCCGGGTCAATTGCAGATTGTGTCACGGTTATCCAACGAATAACCCATTTACTATTAATATTTCGGAGTTTTCCTGACAATTTTGGAAGATGTTTCCAATGCACTCTGAGATATGCATGTGGGGCGCAGATTTGATTTTCTCTCTTCTTATGGTTGATTGCATCAAAGTCAAACCAAGCAAAGAGGTACCAAAATCTGAGGTTGAATATGATATTTACAGAATTCTGCCTTCTTTTGTTTTTATTAGTTTTTGTAATTTATTATAGAGTTCACAGTTTTTCGCTTAGCTTCTTTAGTTGATTTCCTATGTACCAGTTCCTTTCTGGTTCACTCTCGCCACCTTACCAGGTAACTCCCAACATCAACGTCGTGGAAATTGAGTTTCATAGAACCCATGAAAGAGTACCCACCTTAGATTTGGGTACCATGGAAGAACTCTCAAAAATTACTTTATAATGAACTCACAAGACCCGATTACTTCACCTTCTCCTTTGTTCTTAAGTCGTCTGCAGAGTTACCATGACTTCTAACTGGAAATTATAAAGAGTTTAAGAATTCGATTGGAATATGATTTGTATGTCGACAGGATTTCATTGATTGATATGCATCTAAAATGTGGTGAACAAGGTGATGCTCATAAACTGTTTGATAATATGCATGTAAAAGATATTTCAACATGAAATTGAAATGCTTTGATTGCAGGTTACGGAGTCATTCAAATTGCTGATGCGTTGTTCCCATGAATGTCAAAATATTGTTTTTTGGACTGCTATGATATCCGTGTACACTTAGAATGGGCTCACAGAACGAGCAATGAGTTTTGTTTTTGGAGATTTTGGTGGATTCGAAGGTAAGCACCAACTGGGCAACTATCATATGACACGAGTGTCCTTCCGGCGCGTTTTCGTTTTTCTGCTCTGGAATGGGTAATTATCATAACTGAGTTTGTTTGATCTCTGCGATTTTTATTAATTTCCATATTTTTATATCTTCTGTAATTTATGCTATTTTCAGTATTTTTGTATTTTTTATAACTTTATTGTTTTTCTGTAGTTTCTGTTTTTTTTTTCAATGTGCTTCTATATTTTCTGTAATTTCTGTTATTTTTCTTCATTTTCTATGTTTTTCTATATTTTTTGCAATTATTATTATTACTTATCTATGATTTTATATTTTACTGTAATTTATGTTTCTTTTCTGCATTTTTCATTGTTTTTATCATTTTTATATTTTTTTGTAATTTGTGTTATATTTTTCTACAATTTTATACATCTAATTTAATGAATAAAAGACTAATGGGTTGGGTTAAGGTGAATTTGGGTTGAATCCTACCCATTTAATTTTGTTTAAATGGGTCGATTGGGATTGGGTTGAGCTTAACCCAACCCATCTAACCCACCAACCCATTAATGACCCATTGATGATTCTTCATATGTTTCCTTTCTTCTAAATTGTTCATTTGAATTATTTGACAACTTTTTGAAACATGGAATGTAAAATGTTTATAATTGTTAGTTGATTAGTTATTGTTTTATTTAATACTTAAACGATGAAACTTATTCTTCATAAAATTTTATTTCACGGATATTTTTACAAGTTCTATCATTCTAACTTAGTAAGTTAGTATATTATATATTATTTTATTCAATTCATAAACGTTAATTAATTTTGTACTTAAGCTTCAGTCTTATGCATCACAGCACCTTAAGGTTTATGCCTCACATTTTTGGGTCATTACACCTTAACTACACCTTTAACCTTTTAAAGCCTTGACCATTAGTGGATTGAATATTCAAAATTCAAACCCTCCTTGCACATGAAAATGAAAAACCCTCCCCAATCCTACTCTCCATGCATTTGAGGGTGGGACGGGTCATGTTGGTGGGTTGGGTCCACAACTTGCATCTAATTTCCTTTTATTTTCTATTATATATATATATAAGTAATAAACAAGTAAAATAACATGATCAAATATCAAAAGTTTCAATTATTTGATTAAAACATATAAAAAACGAATTATCCTTCACATAAAGTTCAAAATATTATGGTAGCTGAAATTAGGGAAAATCTAGATGCCCATAAACTAGTAGAGTTAGGTTATCCACAAGTAATTATCAAAGGAAACTCGAAGATCACGACTGAAGTAATGAGTGGGATGTGTAACACTACATGGAGATGCCATATCATAGAGAGAGAATTCAAGAATATCAGAGAGAATGTGTAACACTACTTGTCTTTTTTAATTGTTTCCTGTTGTATCAAAAAATATTATTAAATTCAATAGCTAATACATAAGTTCATAAGCCTACTAACAACTTGTGGGTTGGGGGGGATTGGGTTAGCTTAATACCATACCCTACCCATACCTATACTGGTTGTATAACCCCAAAAGCCAAAACCCATTCCTGCCCTAAAATCCATTTTTCAAGCAAAAAAAATCCTCCCCAGAATGGGTACCAGTCGGGTAGGGTAGGAATTGTCATCCCTACTCAATAGATATTTGACTATGGACAATTTGCAAAACAGAAGTATTGATGTGAATCGTGTTGCACTTATGCCGTTGATAGCAACATTAAATTTATCGATACAAATTTCGTGTATAAATCCAAATACAAGAAAAATGAAGATAAATTCAAATAAATTGTTTTTTTATATTTGAAATAAATGGGACACAAACTCTTTGCATTTGATACTTTCTTACAAAAGAGATAGAACCATTGATTCTCTTTTGGTAATGTACTTCTTGCAACTTAAGGATTTGGGTTGAGTTGAAGTCGAGAGTCAGATAACATGCTCCCATACTTTAGAAAATGACAAAAATTGCTTCCTCCAATTGGGCTTTAAAAGCTTGATCAAAAGAATGATTCTACAAGAACTCCGAGAGTGTTGTAGCTTTGTTCTTTAGAAAGTTGTGGATGCATTTCCTCTTCCAGGAGCTTTCTCACTTAGTTTCTCCCTCCAAAAGTCACTTCCCTCTTGATGGGAACCCTTATTTATAAATCTCTTGACTCATCTCTTAGCCCCCTTGATTAAGGATTTGGTTAGCTCTTCTTACCCTTTTTAGAGAGTGAAAGGTTGTGATTATTGCCATTCTTGGAGAGAATAATTTATCATCAATTATTCCCTCTTTAATCATTGACTAATTTCCATATATGGGAAGTTGTGCTTTGATTAACTAGATATTTGATTAGCTCTAGTTTCCTTTCATAAATAAGAGAGTTGGTAATTTACCATTTATATAGATAATGATTTTTAATCAATTATTGACTAGATTTCCATTTTTAGGGCTTGAAATGGTTCTAGTTGGATAAACCAATAAGATTTGTAATTTACATTTGAATTTAAACTTGACTTCATAGTGGATCCCACATGGACCATTTCTTTATGCTAATGAATTTACAACAGCAAAGCCCAAATGTTAGGCCCATGCACATATTTGAGAGAGTATGGAGTATGGTCCAAATAGAAGGACTCATACTAAGGCCCACAAACAAATTTGAGTTTATGGGAATAAGGCCCATTTAGGATTCCATGAAAATTTTAATGTCTACACGTGTCATCATCATCCAAACCCTATCTTAACTATATGGGGTCAAGTTAATGAATTCCAAGATTTTTTCTGAATAAAGGAGAGACAATGGACATGTTAATTAGTGAATTAAAATCAAGGTTGATATCTTGGTTGTGTGCACAGTCTTTTCAAGGGATGCAAATTCACCTTTTTTATGGGTGTGTTTGGTTATAATGCAAACTTATTTGTAGTGATGCAAATTTATGGAAGTGCAAATGATTTGGGTGCAAATTCTGATTTATTTTTGTTTCAAATATTATCTTATTTTGTTTGTTTGCAGTACAAAAGAAGTAAAATAAGACCTAAAGCAGAATACAGATAAACCAAAACAATATTGATGAAGGAAGATTTGGCCCGACCTCGTAACCACTCAACACGTGGCAAAGGCAACAGCTCGGCACAAACAGCACGCCAAGGCGCGAGCTCCGAAATGAGGAACCAGCGGTCCGAACTCCCCGTAAGGAGCCCGAGCTCTCCCTTAGGCCCCGAGCCTTACGAACACAAAGGGCAACAACCCGAACTGGCCTGCCCCATGGCAGTTCGGGTCACACCTCTATCCGAACTCGAGACTTAACCTCGCACACCACTCCAACACTTCGCCTCCAGGACGTTGAACTAAACAAACCGCACCGTACCTGACACCAATGGGGTCCGTATCCAGGGGCGGCACACCTGACTGACTTGGGATCTGACACTTGACAGCCGCACTTCAACAGCCACCTGCCACTGCCACCTGCCACCGCCATCTCCAGTTACAGAGACGGCTCCAACAAAGAGAACAGTGACGGTTATGCCCCAGCAGAGGTGATGACACCCGAACTGGCAGAAGCATAGAAGTAATCATACCCGACCTGATAGAAGCTTAGGAGTGAGTGCGTGAAGTGGTTATAAAAGGCTCTCTACCCCCTAAGAACAAGGTATGTGAACTTTGCGCCATCTGGTTTTATCTTGCCTTTGAGAGAGTACTAAGTTGAGCTTTGGAGCAATATCACCGGGTTCCTCCCCCGAGAATCCCCACTTTCTTCTCCGTTTCAGGCCCCCTGTTGCTCCGGTCAGAGGCAAGGTCGTTGGCAGCTAGGATCGGCTGGATTGCGCACCATTAATTGGCGCCGTCTGTGGGAACGCTTCTAAAAGCCTCCCTCTAAAACTCTCATAACCTCCTTTTTCCAAAAACCCCAACACTCATGGCTTCTTTCAGCAATGCCGGACGTGGCACGAAGATGAACACCATTGGGGAACAATTTCAAGTCCCCGTGGTGTGCATCGGACAGTTCACCATCCCCCTTCCAGTGGATGGGATCCCCAGCTTGAATGTGCCATAAATAGTGACGCCCGTAAACCTTTCTGCCATGAACGTCCCATTTCCTCTCCCTGTCGAAACAACCTTTACTGAACCAACTGATGTCCCTCTGGCGACCAGCCAGAACCAATTAGACGACCTGATGCAATGCATGCGGGCAATGCAAGTACAAATGCAACAATTCCAGCAACATCAGATCCAGCAGCACCAAGTACTGCACCACATCTCTCAGTATCACTATCAGCAGCCTGCTCCAAGTACTGAACCAACCACTGCTTCCACCACATCTCTCAGTATCACTATCAGCACCAATGCACAAACCGCACCAAGTACTGAACCAACCACTGCTTCCACCTCGGCACCCTGCTCCAAAGCCGGTTAAGCCCTCCCCTCAGGGTGGACGCCATCACCGAGGAGAGGCCTCCCAACCTCAGAACCCCCACAAGAGCCAGGCCTCATCCCCGGGCCGAGGGGAAAGAAAAATCACCCCCGCCTCGCAGCTCGCCGGCGGGTCGGGAACCTCGCCCGCTAAGTCAGTATCTCGGCACTCCAAGTCTGAGCTCCCGCTGACAAAGAATCGATTCAGCGTCCTAGCGGCAGGCTACCAATAGCTCGGGCCCATCGAGCTCGGCAACACAGAGGCCAGCAGCGCCAGCACTAGGCCCACTCAACAACGAAGGCGCCGGTGAAGTTGCCGAACTGCCACCCGTGTCCTGCCCGAGCTCAGAGGTAAAGAAGAGACAAGCTCGGACGAGGTAAAAGCCTCCCCGATTCTCTCAGTTCCTTCCCCCCTCGCATCGGAACTCCTGGCAATCCCCATGCCCAGAGACTTCAAGCTCCCACCTTTGGACAAGTATGACGGGTCCTTCGACCCCAACGACCATGCCGATGCTTTCTAGTCCCAAATGCACCTAGCAAGGGCCAGTGAATCGTGCATGTGCGTGGCCTTCACCACCACCTTCAGGGGGGTGGCCCGCACTTGGTACAGGAACCTGGCCCCCGGGTCGATAAGAAGCTGGATCCAGTTCGTGCAGGTCTTTACCGCACATTTTGTCACCAGCAAGTGATGCCCCATAACCGAGAAAAGCATCTTTGGAGTAGTCCAGAGGGAAGGAGAGTCCATCCGGGGATACATCAAGCGGTTCAATGACGCGTGCTTGCAGATACCGCGATTAGACCCCACGGTGCAGCTCACGGTGGCCAAGAGAGGAGTAACACACAAGGAGTTCAAATGGCATATGGTAGCTAACCAGCCCGCGACCATAGCCGAATTCCTTAATCTCGCGGATAAGTTCATGAGAACAGAGGAAGAGATCAACCAAAGGACCGAAAGCGGGATCGAGAAAAGAAAGAGGGAAGGCGAGCCCTCCAACCCAGTCGACAGAAAAACCCGGCCCGGGAGCCGAAGCCGTGTCAACCGTTCCAAGCTCCCTTAGCAGTTCGGACGGACTATACACCGTTAAACATGATGTGGACCAAGATCTTGATGACGATCAAAGACGCCCCATACGTAAAATGGCCACCTCGCCTAAARGGGAACCCAAACGAGAGAAATAAAAACTTGTACTGTAGTTTCCATAGAGATCACGGTCATAGTACCGAACAGTGTAATAATCTCCGGGACGAGATAGAGGGACTCATCCGTCGCGGATACTTGAGAAATTTTGTACAGCATAATAATAATAATAATAACAATAAGGTAGGTCGGCAAGGGGAGCACGGAAGGGATGCCCCCAAATCCAGCAGCAGGCCAGCCGAACCGTTGCCACGACAGCCTCCGGAAGAGAGGCCAGTTCGGGGAACCATCCATGTGATAGTGGGAGGTTCGATGGTAGCAGGTTGTACTTCGGCAGCGGCTCGGACGTCAGTTCGCAAAGCAACCCGAGAAGAACAGAACCCTCCAAAGAGGCCGAAGACKGAAGAACCGATCTTCTTCACAGAAGACGATGCACGAGGGGTCCACTACCCCCACGATGACGCGCTTGTCATAAAACTAAGGATCAGCGACTTCGAGGTCAGGCGCATACTCGTGGATTCGGGCAACTCGACAGACATCCTCTTCAAATCGGCATTTGACCAGCTACAGTTGCAGAGAAGCGAACTGAAGCCCGCGAACACTCCTCTGGTGGGCTTCAGCGGAGAGGAAGTCAGGCCCCTCGGGAAAATAACAGTACCCGTGGAAGTCGGCACATGGCCTTGTGCGGTCAGACTCAACGACGACTTCCTGGTGGTCGCGACCCCCTCCCATACAATGCCATAATAGAGCGGCCAATTACGCATATCCTACAGGCAGTGGTCTCCACCTACTATTTGGCAATGAAGTTCCCTACAGACTTCGGTGTGGGGGTGGCACGGGGCGACTAGCTTGAGTCCCGCAAGTGTTATGTTGCCGCCCTGAAGGGAAAAAACAAGGCGAACGACGACCTCGAACTGGAGCAGCCTACGGAGTAGGGCGAGGAGCGAGCTTCGCCCCCAGAGGAAACGGTCGCAATCCCAACCTCGGCTACGGACCCAGCTCGAACACTACAGATCGGTGCTTCCATCAAGGAACCTCTACGAACCGAACTTGTGAGTTTTTTACTTCAAAATTTAGATATTTTTGCATGGTCCGCGGCCGATATGCCCGGTATTGACCCCAGCCTTATAACTCACAAACTTAATACTGACCCTGTAATCAGACCCATTAGACAGAAGAAACGCAACTTAGCCCCAGAGCGCTGGAGGGCGGTCGACGAAG